ATTGACTTTTTCTATTTCCATGATATCTTCACGTTTTGAAGTGCCCTGAATCAAAAAATCATGGTCCGGTGAAAGTGTCTGTCTGTGTGTTTGTATGTGTGTATGTCTGTCCGTAGACACAAAACGTTGTTGACACAATAACTTTTGTAAATCAAAGCGAATCGACTTGCAATTTTGCACACACAAGGTTAGTGTCAAAATACAGGTCAAGTTTGTTGGCCAACCACTTTTTTCAAAAAATGCAAAAACTGCTGGATTTTCAAAATTTTGAAATTTTAATTTTTTCAAATAAAATTTTTTTCACTACACACCTTTATAGTTCAGGAGAAAGCAAACAACTTTTTTATGTAAAATTTTTTGATTAAAATGAAATTGTAAAAGATACAGTGTTTTAAATGTCGAAAAATATCAAAAAAGGCTTTTTTAATTAAAAAATAAATTTTATTAAAGGGGTGGAAAAATCAGTGCATAAAATTGACACATTCCCATCACAATAGACTTAGAAAATATGATACAAGTGAAAAAAATAGCAATTTGTCAAAAAACTACTGTACATACATATTAATTATATTTTTTTACACAAAAATCAGACTTTCTGATTCAATTATCTCGTAATATATTCATTTTGGCATAATAACCCCACAGACTTTTTTCTTCAAAATTTTTTTAGCTACAACTTTGCCATTAAACATTTTTCTCTATCTCTTTACGTTTTTGAGATTTTAATGAAAAAAGCATTTATTTTTCATTCTTGTCACATGAGAAGGTATTATAATTGGTTGAAAATGGACTTTTTCTATTTCCATGAAATCTTTACGTTTTGAGGTGCCCTGAATCGAAAAATCATGGTCCGGCAAAAGTATCTCTCTGTATGTATGTATACCCACAAATTTTTCATGCAATTTGCTTAGGGCCGGTTTCACCAACTATGGTTAAAAGTTAATCAGCGATTAAAACCAATTTAACCGCTCATGATTGGTCGGTTAGGGATTTAATTGCTGATTAACTTTTAACTGGAGTTAATGAAACTGGCCCTTATATTATCAAAGGCAAAAAATTATGTAGGTATAGTGGTTTGACATAGTCATAATTTAAACTAAAATCAATGAAAATAAAAGATTCGATACGATTAAAGAAATTGGAACAAAGAATATGTACATGAACATTTTCAATTACATTCAAGTGTACTTGTTTGCGACAAACATAAGGACAGACTGTACATACCAAATATACTGCGCAGTTTTAAAACTCAAAGAAAGTGACTGCGCAGCCCGTGAAGAATTTGCAAGATCGTGTAGATAAAATGTACAAATAAAAGTAATGTATATAAATATGTATATAAATGTACATAATAATAATATAATATAATGTATATAAATAATGTATATGTACATGTTCAAGTTCTTGAATCCTGAAGGATATGAAAGCGGCTCTACGGGGTCGGTAGAAATACTAAACCTTCGATGAGACTATTGTCGCCACGGAAGTCTTAGAGGCAGTTCGGGTAACACTGGGCAAGCCTACTTTAGAAGTACCATGACAAGTCTTTACTCGGTATGGTCTTAATAAGATGGCGATTCTGCGACTCCTGGAAACAGAAGCAGAATGAACGGCCGAATAACGATTGACTGAGTGAACTGCAGAGTTCGCTCTAAGTTGGAAGTAGAGAGGTGCTTTAGAATCCTCTGTTATGGCCACTTGACCGGAGGATGCAGTGACCCAGATAGAAAAACTGCTTGCTGGAAGTATGGCAGTCTGGACTACCGAAAGGCGGATTGCAAAGGCGAGTCTTGATGCCTTAGGTGTTCTAAAAGTAAAAGGACAGACGTTAAACACACTTTAGGAAGTAGAGTTTGCTTCAGGACCTTAAGTCCAGAGTTATTAATTCTCCAGATTAACTTCAGAAAAGGAAGAGTCGCACAAGAACTCTTAATGCAGACTGTCAGAGACAGAAGAGCTGATGTACTGCTTTTCAGTTAGCAATACAAGAAGCCGGGATTCTTTGTCTGGTTTGAGGATGCATCAAACTGATGAGGCATATAAGTGTGTAACCCGGCAATCGCCATCGGTGACTTCCTGGACACAGGTAAGGGGTTTTGAAAACTGGTTAATTTGTCAAAGTTAATACTATAGTTCAACGATTAAAAAATACTGTGTAATAGTAATTACAATTAATTATTAATAGTAATTAATTAATTTAATTAAACTGTCTCAGATTATAAATTAAATTATGTCTGCCGTTGAAAAGTGCGATGACTCTCCAATAAAAAAGCTAGATCTAAAAGGTGTGTGAATCCTTTAAAAATTGATGGTCGTACTGGTAAATCTTTGAGAATAATGTAATAAATAGCTTGTCCACCCTCCCTATTGAAGCGTTGCGAAATATAAGTATGGCTCCTAAGTGTGAGTGCAAGAGAGTGAAGAAGAGAGCTCATTGGATATCACATAACAGTGTCCTTGTCGCTCTTATCATTAGATCATTAGTTAATCATTCTTACTGTATACGCTGTTTAACTTTTTAAAAGTATTAGATCATATTCATTTTCAGCTACCCTAAAAACACAAAAGCAATGAGTTTCAATTAAATTGAAATTATTTTTTTAATTTCTACGCCATATTGAATCTCCCATTTTACATTTAAAATTTTTGTCTGCAGGTTTGTTATTAGGAATCTTAAATGCCAAAAAAACATATCTCATGAAACTCCAATGATTTTATAAAAAATTGTCGGCTATACGGTTTTGACATTTTGAATTTTAAAAAACTGACGTCGAATTTGTGTTCAGCGAGCCCAAAAACCCTTAAGTAACAAGTTTCAAGCAAATAGACTTTTTTATTTAACAAAAATACACTGCGCAAGTGCGGAATATTCGCAGTATTTCCGACAGTTTCGAGTACTTTTTGTAGGAAATATATGGCACTGATAACAAAAAAAGAATCAATTAAAAAATATTACTATTAATTGTTAAAACTAAATAAGTGATTAATAAAGAAAAGCAGTAGGTATACCCAGGCTAATAATAGTCTAAAAAATTGGTCAAGCGCGAGTTACACTCGCTTACTTAGGGTTCTGTTCAGGATTATTTAAAGTTAAAGATTCTTAAAGTTAAGATAAAAATGAATTTTGAGCTTTTTTTTAGGGATTTTTGAGTTTTTGTAACGAAACAATATTTAAGTCAATTTTAAAGAGGTTGGATATATTTTTCGTGAAAACTCCACGTGAAATTAAATATGTGCACCTAGTTTCAGCTTCGTAGCTCCAAAAGTTTTAAAGTTATAAACAAATTTTATTTTTTAAACAAATTGTTTTAAAAATAATATTTTTAAAATAATTTTTTTCTGAAAGTTTAGGGTCTTCTGCGTAAAAAACATACTTAACATTTTTCTCTATTTTTAGTAGAGAAAAAGTTATAAGTAAAGGAAAAAAATATTGCTCTTTGTTATTGTACATATCTCGAAAAATATTAAAAATTTCAAATTCAAAATTTGTACACTTATTTAGCACCACTTTCACTACAATTTACCCAATTTTGAGAAAAATCCGAAACATGACCCCGTATTCTCAGATGAAATGCCTCACATATGTATACTAAGTTTAAACATCCTAACTCTAAAACTGTAAAAGTTAAGGGGTTAGGGGTAGTCAGAGTTTTTAAAAAATCAAATTTTTTTTTTTGCATATTCGTTAAGTATAATATCTTAAAAATAATCTCTGAAAATTTCAAGTTAATCCGATAATTCGCTTTTAAGTTATTCGACAAATAACAAAGAGAGCTCGGGCCTTTCAAAGCGCTCGGGAGCAGGTAGCTAGTGGTAGCTGCAAGAAACCGGCTTTTAGGGTTCTATTGTCATCGATGAACTCAGACTTGGGTATATGTAGTAGTACCTAAATTAATATGACCCAGGAATAGATGACTCGGTGTAAGTAATTTAATAATTCGTTTTTTTATACGTAAATCTAGTGTGAAACTTTAAACGCGTTTTTCTCAAAACTATGTTTTTTGAACTGGTGACAACTATAACTCGAAAACCGCTCAGTTGATTTTAATGAAATTTATACAGCTTTTAGAATACATAATAAACTCGGGCCTGATCGAAGGATTTTTTTTGAAAAATTTCGATTTTTTAAGACCAATTAACTGTTGATTTTTTCCCAAAAATCTAGACAAAAATTTCCTGAGGCCGCCATTTTGTTAATTTTTGAAAAAAAAAATCCTTCGATCAGGCCCAGGATTATTTATTTATAAAACTAATTTTTTTTATCCTATTGATTTCTGATGAATCTCCAAGGACTTATGATTGTCACCGCAAGGACCTTTTTTTGGAACTGGGTTAACACAGACAGCTGTAACTTCGGAAATAAAATTTTTTTTTTTTGAAATTTTCGTGACTTCAAGTCAAAACATTGTTTAATAATACCATATCACTACTTTTGTAAAATAAAATTATTTGATAGCAAAAAAAAAAAATACTGAAAATTCTCATTTTTTCGTGCCTCTGACTACCCCTAACCCCTTAAGGGGGACACGCTTTTTTCCAAAATTTCAAGTTTTTGGAATTGAACTCAATTCAATTCCAATCGGATTCGCTATAATTTTCGTTTAATCTACTCCCAAAAATACGTATGTATATCAAGTTTGAGCTCAATCGATTGAAATGGCTAGGCTTTAAAGGGGGACATAATATTGTGAACGGACATGAGTGAAACCATAAGGGTTCCGTTTCAGTTCGCTGCATGAACGGAACCCTAAAAAAAGAATTGGAGCTTAAAAAAGCAGTAATTTGAGAAATGATTAGAAGAAGTGAGACTCAATAGGTTTAAATTTTGTGAGCCTGTGTAATTCGAAACGCAAAATTAAAAAAAAAGTTTTAATACGACTGTTGATATGGCCTGATTAGGATTATTATTAATTGTTATCAAAAATATTTTAGTTTTTATAAAATAGAAAAATGTATTTATGGTAAATTTTTAAATAGTATAAAATATAATAAACACAAACCTTTAGCTCTAACTTATATCCTACTTCTATAGAAGCATGTTGCAGAGCTTTTGTAATTGAAGCATATGAATCTTCAAGTTTGGTGTATTTTCCAACTAATGCTATAACTACTTTCTTTCTAAGATGATCAACACGTTCTGCAAGATCACGCCATTTACGCATGAAAGTTCGTGGATTTGGCATTGACACGTTCAACTGCAATCTTTCAATTAAGAAAGGTACTATGCCCTGATTTTCCATTAATAGAGGCACACGATAAATTGACGAAAGATCATGAATCGTTATAACCTGAAAAAGTTAATAATATACTAAGAGAATCAATAGTATATTGCGTGCGTAGCGAAGAAACGCTGCCTTGGCAAGACTTTCTGTAGTGAGTTTAGGAAGTTGTCTTGAATTTCTCTACAATTGTTATAGAAATACTGCTTAGAATTTTTCAAAGAAAATATAAATAAGATTTCTTAAATTATTCTCATATCCTCAGTTCCTGTACAAATTTAGGAATGATTCTCGCACAAAGTTTTTCCTTGTATATTAATTTTGATTACTTTGAGAACTATTAAGTATAGTCTCGTTTTTACAATAAATAAATTTAATAAACACAGAAAGTGAAAAAATGATTTAATTACGGTCAAAAATCTTAAAAAATAAATCAAGAGTAAGTTAATTTTTTTCTTTTGAAATAAATTCTTCTTAAAATTGTTTTAGTCTCACAACTTATAATATAGTGAATTATACCTGTTCTGGTGGAACATGACAAAAATTGGAAATTTTTTCTTTGATTCCATCACCGATAGGATTTTCAGATCTACAAATAATGAGATCTGGTGATAGGCCAAGACCACGTAATTCTCTCACACTTGATTGAGTTGGTTTTGTTTTCGGCTCACCTGCAGATTTTGGCTGAAATAAAAATTATTACGGATTGAATCGGGATGATTTATAATATTCTTACCTTATCATTAATAAACTTAGTGATTATTTTCATATAGAAAATATTTTTGTGTCCTCATAGAAAAAAATTATTTTGATGATTATTTTTTAATTCAAAACAATTTCTTTCATTATAAATCCTTCAATTTGATCCTAATTATTTAATTTGAAAAGCTGAAGCAAAAAATAAATTTTTTAATTCCTTAAAGAATAAGAAATCGACAATAAGTAAAAAAAATTTTCCTTAAATATATAGGTATTTCATATAAATTATTTGCTTTGTTCCTAAATGCAAAATATATTTTCGAAAAGAGCAATCTACAAATTGTAAATGTGCAGATTTATATAAAAAATCAAAATTTTCAAAAACGGAAGATAAATATATTCCTTTAATTTCAAATAAACAATATAATTTTAAAGCTATTTTTTATTTTAGATATGTTGATAACACAATTTTGTGTATTCATAAAGATCATGTTGATCTAGTTGTCAGATTTTTTAATTCTTATAATTCTAGTAAAAATTTTACATGATAACGATGATTCTGGTTATTTCATTTAAAAAATATTAAACTTTGATTAAAACCAACACGTATCACTTTTCGTGACGCATTAGAATTAGTCCCTTTGTTTGATGAACAAAACATGCCATTGACGTCTTTTCTCGACGGATGCCACTCAAGCACCTGACAAGTTTGCCTACCATCTTATGAAAGGTCTAGGGTATATGTCAGTAGTAGCAGGTGAAGGAGTTCATATTATAAAATGCGTACTTGTCGAAGTCGTCTATAGAAAATAAGCGAGTGTTATTTACAACTACCAGTAAGCAAAGGAAATCTTTCTTAGCCCTCGAACCCACATTTTACCAAATCAGGAACACAGGTAAACTGCAGTGCTCTTATACCCTCAATGTATAGAATTGGAGACTTTTGGTTTAAAATATTACTTTATCCCGTAGAATCAATTCTCCCTCAAGCAAGCATTCAGCTTTTAAAAATGCTACTTGAAAACATACAAACCCCTTTTGACTTGCAATAAACGGTATTTACTCTCAAGCAGACATAGATGAATTAAGAGATCATATAATGTTTCCTGCCGAAAAACCAATGGTATTAAATTCCATTGTAAGAGGCATAACTGGTCATTTAATGTCCCATAGTGGTATATCATTAATTAATTTAATGGATGAAAAAACTCTAGATCAATAGCATCATCTGCATGAGGAGGACTTTGGACTGCTTTAACAAGTTTTGGAACGATGAGCGAGGGATTGATAGGATTCGTAAATATTATACAAGGTATTAAATTGATTGCTGATACATTAATTTACGGTTATTTTCTTCACAGTGTATTTGGCTGGTTGTTGCATTTGCTTGGAGCTTTGTGGGGCTCTATAACAAGTCTATAATAATAACTCGAACAAAAGAATACAAAAGCCAAACAAGACACAAACCCAACCGCCCCTGTCTGTATTAACGATCCTTTAGATACAAAGACCTTGACGAATGTAATACAGAACCCCAATGATCCTCAAGCAAACGACTTATGTCCAAACCTAGTTCATGTCTAAAATGAATGGAATATGTTATGTAACAAAACTATACGAATTCATTAATAAGAAAAATTTTGCATCTCCTAGAATTAAAATTTTTTCGACCCAGGCACCACTATTTCCTCTTATAAAATAGAAACACTCTTCACATTTTTCGTTTGATTGAAATTTGATTTCAATTTTTTTAAAGAAGATTTTTATGTGAAATATTGTATATCACTCTACAGTGCGGTATTACTTTAATTTCAAAAAATGGTAGTTTAACACTAGAACTAATGAAGATCCTGCATACCTAGAACTACCACGGGGACAATTTGTTCCATGATTCATTTGTGTTTTTTTATTATTATTTACAATATAGAAAATTAAAATGATACGTGATTTTCAAAGGTTATTTCACATAGATCACGAATCCAATGTCGAAAATACTCCAGCAATTTAATTTTTTACTAAAAAATAGGCTTGAGTGATAAAAAACAGCCTTTTTTATGTTAACTTTAGAGCAATATAAAAAATTATCCCGAAAAGTTACAAACTTCCGGTAGGCCTTAAAATAATAAATAAACTTTGAACAATAAATTATATAATATAACATGTTTACTATTACTTTTAATTATTATATATATTGATAATTCAAATTAAAGTTAAACTAAGAAAAGAGGGGAAGCATGTTATTTATTTTATTAATAATTAAAAGGATTATATTTTCTTTTTTATTATGAACGACAAGTTATTCTATGGGAAACAACTTAACCATTCTACACATAATTAATGATTGAAGTTACGCCTGCTGGCTCAGAAAAATGATAGGAAAAACATTCTAACAAACTGCGGAGAGGGGGGGGGGATAAGGAGAAACACCATTATTTAGGCAGAACCCAACAATAACACTATTTATTCATATTCACTTCAATTTGTAAAAAGTTAAAAATTATGAAAGTGGCAGAAGGCCGATTAATAAGATTTATATTTTATTTATTTATTAAATTTTTAAATAATAATGAGATCGATTCAGAAGGAACGACTCATACTATTAATTTGGGGACTCACCGCCATTGTGACAACGACGATTAAGCCTCGCCTCACAATTATAAAATTACATTTTTAAATTCATTCACAAACAAAAAAGATAACTGTAGAACACAACTATGCTATACGAACACCAGGATGATGATAAGAGTCACACTCGAAAGCGCCGCTAAACAAAGTCCTCTCTTCTCGGTGTCATTCAGATGAATCAATATTTTGTTTAATCCACGATCGATAACTGATATGCGACCGTCGGTAACGTAGATTACGGAACTATCCTATGCAGAGTTGATTGACGCGAGAAGTCCACGGAAATTGACTGCCACACAGTGGGCTAGGAACGCCGATTTTTGGTCAAATGACGATATTGGAACATTCAAATAAGTAGTACATAGTTATCGGTGATAGTGAAACTAACATTCACCAAAGTGATTAAATAATAAATTCATTCTGTTACATTTGGCAGCTATATAGATTTAAAAAACGTCAGTTTCAAAGAAAATAAATTTTTTTTAATTGCAATTATTTTTTGAAAAAATGTACCGAATCATAAAAGTTACAGTTTTTACTTATTATTTAGAACATAAACAACAGAAATTTTTTTAATATCCTGCATAATTAAATTTTTTTAGGGTTCCGTACTCGGTTCGGAACCCTATTAATATCGGTTTTTTTGAAATCGTGTACCCCCCCACCCTTAGCGGCCACACGAAATTATCTAGAGGGCTAAAATTTGGTACACATATGTATTTTCGCGTGTAGATTACAGGAAAAATATAGCGAACCTGATAGGAATTGATTATCATAGCGTTGTCAAGGAAAAACCATGAATTTTTACGAAAAATGCCTAAAAATGACTATGTACCCCCCTCTAGCAGCCACATCTTTTGACATAAAGAGCTCAAATTTGGTACACTTACGTATTTTAACGTGAAAATTACAGGAAAAATATAGCGAACTTGATTCGGATCAATTTACATAGCGTTGTCAAGGGAAAATCAAAAATTTTGAAAAAAACTGATTTTTTTCTCCCTAGCGCAAACAATATTCAACCCAGACAGTTCACATTTAGTATACAAATGTATTTTTACGGGAAAAATACAGGAAAAAAAAGAGATCACGATTAGAGTTGATGATTAACTTTTTATTAAGTTTTTCAAGAAAAAATGACAATTTTAGGAATAAAATGTATTTTTCCACCAAAAACGAACAAAATTTTATTTAAAGGGATTAAAATTTATATATTTTAACGTATTTTTACGTGTACATTACAAAAAAAATATAGCGAGCATGATTGGAGTTGATTATCATAGCGTTGTCAAGGAAAAACCATGAATTTTTATGATGCTGAAGTCCGCAACGTTTTTATAAACGAAAGCGAAAAAAAAATTAGACAATATCTATTACTTTGGGTTAAAATTAAAGTTATTCGGGGGTAACTGGTTTTTATAAAAGTATTAATTTCTTGAAAGTTTGTGCAAATCAAAATTAGAGATAAATTGACATGAAAAAATAATTCTATTTTAATTTTTCGTTTTTGAAAACGTTGCGGACTTCAGCATCATGAATTTTTACGAAAAATACCTAAAAATGACTATGTACCCCCCTCTAGCAGCTACATCTTTTGACATAAAGAGCTCAAATTTGGTACACTTACGTATTTTTTCGTGAAAATTACAGGAAAAATATAGCGAACTTGATTTGGATCAATTTACATAGCGTTGTCAAGGAAAAATCAAAAATTTCGAAAAAAATGATTTATTCTCCCTAGCGCACATAATATTCAACCCAAACTGTTCATATTTGCTGTAAAACAGTATTTTTGCGTGAAAAATACAGGGAAAAAATGTAAGCGCAATTGGAGTTGATGATCAATTTTTATCAAATTTTTGAAAAAAATGTATTTTTCCGCAAAAAACGAAAAAAATCGGACAAGTGCGAGTTACACTCGCACTGAAATCGAGGGTTCCGTACTCGGTTCGGAACTTATTTGGTATAAAAACAAATGTTTAAAAAATATGTGTTGTATGTTAAATAATATATGTGATACAAGAAGGAACAATTTTTAAAAAAAAATTTAAGAAAATTGTTCCTCGTTTGGTATAAAAACAAAAAAAAATTTAAATATGTGTTTTATTTCAAAAATAATATAAGTGATACAAAAAGGAACAATTTTGTAAAATAAGAAAATTGTTCCTCTTCGTATCACTTATATTATTTGAAATACAACACATATTTAAATTTTTTTTTGTTTTTATACACCAACACGAATCCGAAGTCCGTTTTGCTCCATCACGTCAGGATTTTTTTCTAACCTCCAAAAACCTGTCAGATTTTGAGAGGTAGGCTATCTTTTTAAAAAATTGATGGATTTACTTCAAAATTGGTAT